GTCAGGGTTGCTGTCCATCTTTGCCATCCATTTCGCCCTCTGAACCTCCTCAGGCCTCAGCCTCCACTGCTCTACGGCCTGCGCGAGAGACTCCTTGAATGTTGCCGTCCATCGACCATCATTGGCTTTCTTATTCTCATCGTTCAGCTGCATATCAAGGTTGGTAAGGACACCCGGAATCAAGGTCTCCAAGCACATGGCATCCTTGTAGTTCGTGAAGATCTTCGCCACATTCGGGAAGCAGCCATCTTCATTCTTCGCGAGCTCACCCAGCAGCCTGTCTCCTTCCATCGCCAAGTACACCGGAAAACCCGTTCTCTTGATCCTCGCAGCCTTCGCAACCATCATCAGCCACATCTGCTTTGCTACCAACTCTTCGTCCTCCGTTCCTCGACAAGGGGGGGCGCCAACAACACCATCAAGTAATCCCTGTGCAGCGGACCAGAGGAGAGCTCGGTAAGTTCCGGCGGTTTTTCGAAGATCATAGGCCTTGGAGATCTGGACATCCACCTCACGCATTGGCCCGAGAGACTTCAAGTCCCCATGATTGCCTGCTCCAGCATAGAGATGCAATGTCCAAGGGGCAGCCAAAAGCGTTCGCCGCATTCTTCTTGATATCGGCATAGCCTTCACGTACTTAGCGCCAGCATCCACATTGAGAACCACCTCCTCAGCCAAGGCAGCTCGCACAGAAGCTGACAGCCCCTTGAACGGAGAATCCTCCGCCTCCATGGCCCGAAGTTGAGCAGTCCTTGACCCTGTATCCAAGAAGTCAAACAGATGCTGCGACCAGGATTGCTCCTTGTCCCAGCACCAAAGCAACTTCGCTGAAGATCTTGTAGCATCCACCAACTGATTCTTCTTCTCCTCTATGTCCCTGATCAGCTCCAGCGCCTGTCCTTCGGTCACCGTCGGGCAATTAGCGACCATGCGAGGACGAATTTCACCTCGTTGGGGGTGCTGTATCGTCATCCCATCTCTAGTCCATTCCAGGGTGCAGTCCAGGCTCTCGATGAGTTCACCGAGAGGGACTATGGGACTCGTCTGATCATTCGGGGATAAAAGGGTCCCCGTTGAGGTTTGCCGTAGCTCAACCTCCTTGCCGTCTGCCAATTGGACCTGCACTTTTGTGGCCGCTTGGAACTCTTCCTCTGACCCAATCCTGTACGCATGCGACGCTCCAGAATCCAACAAGCCTGTTCGACAAGCTGCTTCTCGCTCCACTGTGGCCAAAGTCAGGGTCTTGAGGTTCATCTGTGTCATCTGGCGCAACATCATATTGGCCTCTCTCAAAAGCGACTGAACGTCAGCCTGTGATTCAGTGCCCGACGATGATTGCCCAGATACTACCGACTCTGTACTTGGTGGAAGGGCATTCAGGGAAGCCGCCGATGTCGAAGCAGGAGGTTCGCCAGAGGGGCCAGATGAAGAAGTAGTTGTGGTCTTGGACGATGTCGCAGCCGTCGGTGTTGTCTTCGCTGGGCTCCTGGGGCGTGTAGGACACTCTTTCTGGACATGCTGCTTGCTTCCACAAGTGAAGCATCTGCCTTGCTTCTGCTTTCTGTCAGCATCATGGGAAAACTGACATGATCCTCCCTTCTTGCATCCATTGTCGGTAAGGAAGAATTTGCAAGGTGTGGACTTCTTCTTGTTGGGGTCGTTCGAAGGCAACGTTGGAGAGGGGGTAGATTCTGAGGGTGTCCCGGCCCCAATTGCTCTCAAGTTCGTAGCACCCTTAGACCTCCCCTTGAAGGCAACCTGCTCAAACTCAGACAGCAGCGCTTGGTGTAGCTCCTTGACCGTGGCAGTGCAAGGCTTCGTGTCCACCTCCAGGTTGTATCGGAGGATGCCGATGCGGAACGATATCTCACTGCTCTCCGTGATGGGCTTCCGAACCATCATGTCCAGGCCTTTCAGCAAGACGCTGGAATCTGGGGGTTGTAGTCCCACATCTTCCGCCCTTCTCAGCCAACGAGACCATCGCCGTAGCGCTTCCACGGCCTCGAGGGGTGTGTTGGCGATTGTAGGACTCTCCAGAGCCTTCAACACCTGCTGTCGTTCTGCTGCTCCTCCTGGTCGATAAAGCACTATCACCCGAGCCAAAATCTGTAGCGCGCCGGAAAGTCTTGCCGCCATGACCTCGCCCCTCACCGACTCCGGAAGACTGGCAAGGATCATGGATGCCGCTCGCTTGTCTACCCGTGACTACTTGCTATCCCCAACCTCAGCGCAGGCAAACGTCTCCGGCCTCAAACTCAGCTTGTCTCTAGTGGAAGCTCGTAGATATGCCTGGTAATAGGCCTCGAGGGATGTGAGGATCGCGTGCCACCAAGAAGAAGAGGAGTTGGAGAGGTCTCCCATAGGGTTCATGAGGCTGTGAAGCCAGTCTCCCACATCTATGGCACTCGTATCCGATGCTTCGGCAAGGCGCGGGAGATCAACCAGACCTGGTTTCACCACCTCAGGTTCCGAAGTCCTCGCCGTCAAGCTCGCGGTCATCGCCGACTGTAGTTGTGCAATTCCCTGGGCAAGCAACCCGAAGGGATCAGAGGGGCCTTGCTGGCCTGTTGATGCCGACATCTTCGGTGGAGGTGGTGGCACAGCGCTACCACTCAAGGTTCGGTGTTGTCCCGGTGCACGTAGAGCCTCCTGGGAAACTCCTGCCCCCCTTGACTGCCTTCCATGTCCAAGGCCAAGAGGATCACATGCAGAAGCCCCCGATTCAGGTCTTGTCGCTCCACGTTCATGCCCTTCTTGATGCACACCAAGATCACCTTCAAGTAGGTTGAATCGTACACTACCGGCCGCTGGATGCCTTGCTTGCTCTTCTGCACGTACACGTTGCTCACCAACTTCACCCTGAACAACTTCAGAGTGTCGTGGTAGTCCAGCAGGATTGCCTCCACCCATAAGCTCAGAGCCCACCCCACCACCTCGTGCAAGTCCGGGAGACGTAGCGAGCGTGTGCTCAGGATCTCCTGGAGGTCCTACCAGATTGCCGCCACCATCAAGTTGATTCGTGTCCCGCACAGGAACTCCTGCTTCCAGCAGTTGCCGTAGTGAACCTCGAAGCCGATTGTTCTCTTCTTCCAAGGCCTCTTGGCGTCCTTTAGTCCTCTTGAGCTCCTCCTGGTGATCCCTCATAGCAGATTGAACTTGCCGCTGAACTTCTTGTAGGATCTGCTCCTGCGTCAAGGAACCACTTGATGACTCAATGTCACGAGGAGGAACAGGACCATGTAGGAGGGGTGCACGCCTATTCCAAGACTGCATCACCTGCTCAGCCTCTGGCGTGAACAAGCGCCCTGGATCTTGGGCCCAACTCGCTGGCGGGGAAAGGGTCGGAGTTTGCCTCGTCGTCCTCTCCAAGATAGCCCCCGCTTGAGTCACCCTGCGTTGGAGAAATTCTCCAAGGCGTGCAATCCATACTGGCCCATTGTTGGCACCCGCTGCCCGTGGTGACCCATCCAACAGCTCCTCCGGAGGAGAAAACCCCAGATGGTTAGTCTGAGAGCTCATTGTCACCTCAGCCACAGGCAGTGCAGCATACTGCTCCACGGTCGTCGTAGTGGTCATCTCTTGTACAGTTGCTGCCGGCGCCGTCACGATGCGTACGTCCGCATTCCTAGTATACGTGTGTCCCACGTTGGTCGCCGCGCCCGGTCCGGTGTCATCAGCTGTCGTAGCGTCCGAAACAGAAGCTGCAGTCTGCCCAGGGATACGTGCAGTGTCAACATCAGAGTCAGGGGGCACCACCGACCCATAGGTCGAAAAAACCCGCTGAGCCCGAGATCCAGCAACACCATTCATCAGTATCCCGCATGGGCCACCACCATCCATTCCAGTTGCAGCAGCTTCACCGCCGTAGTCGGGACCTCGATCTTCACCATCCAAAGCCAAGCCCTGAGCGCTTGGGCTCATAACCTGTTGGCCGGGGGGGCCCAGGTTATGCACTGATTGCATGTCATCAGGTGGATTGGAGGACGGCATGGCAATGGGATTATGGCGATCGGACATGGGATTTTCTCACGCACACCACAGCAGATCTGCAATGCTGTAAGTTGCTTATGTCGAGTGTGTGCTGCCTCTCTATGTCGGATGTCCTGGCCTGTCTCGATTCGAGCCTCCGGCTCTGAAGAGTCGCGCCACAGCAATCAACCTCAGGCAACAAAACCCTAAACCCCGAACCCTAAACCCTAAACCTACAAGCCCAAAACCCAAAACTTCTACCTTCAGTGAAGCTCGGGCCCTGTAATCCTGCTCCCCCTTCAAAAGACCCCTATCCCTGCTAAATCGGCCCTAGATCCAGGAATGTGAAACCCATTCATTTCCCTCACCCTGTAACAGCACTGCCCAGTAAAATCACCCTAAAGCCTAAATCCTAAACCCTAAACTCTAAACCCTAAACCTGAACCCTAAACCCTAAACCTAAACCCTAAACCCTGAACCCTGAGGCGGTCTGCCAGACACCCTGACATTCTCAGGACAGTGACCTCACTGAAAACATCTTGCTCAAAGTGTACAACGACTCGAAGGTCTAAGAACCTCATGGGTTGCCATACTACCCCCCTCTATATGGGTTTAGGGTTTAGGTTTTAGGTTTTAGGAGTACTACTCGCCTCTTACTACCCCCCCCCCCTAGGTTCCCCCTTAAATAACCTTAACTAAGCTTAGTTGTCCCTAGCCCCTTCATTATGGGGGAAGCCTACGCGGGGTAGTATAGAGGGGGGTAGTAGGGGAACCCATGAGAACCTAAGCCCAAAAACTCCAAAGCTACCAACTTCGCCAGCACGAAGAGCCTAAACCCTGTGGCCTCATTACAATAACCCTGAAGCCCTTGAGCATAAAGGGCTTAAAGGACTACGGGGGAGGGGGAGGTGGGGAAAACCCTAAACCCTAAACCCTAATCCCTAAACCCTAAACCCTAATCCCTAAACCATAAACCCTGTAAACCCTAAACCCTGTAAACCCTAAACCTCTCAATGAGAAGACGGGGGCTCCTCAGCTGCTCCTGAACAGCCGAGCTGTCGGCACCTCACCCAGGAGGAGATTTTCGCCTTCTTTAGGGTTCTCTTCAAATTCTTATACTGTAGGGTTATAGGGTTTAGGGTTTAGGGTTTGGGCTGTAGTGTTTAAGGTTTAGGGTTTGGGCTGTGGGGTTTAGGGTTGTGTTTGGGGCAGGAGGATGCGGCTTCCTAGGGTTCTCTTCGGGTTCTTGTAGGGTTTTGGGATTTATAAAGTTTTTTTTGGGTTTAGGGCTTAGGGTTCTTATAGGGTTTTGGGTTTTTGGGGGTTTAGGGTTTAGGGTTCTTATATTCGGCTCTTGTAGGGTTCGTGAGGGCCCTAAGGGCTTTACGACACTTCTTGTGTGTACGGGTTCTGGGATTTAGGGTGTTGGGCCCTGAACCCTAAACCCTAAACCCTAAACTCTAAACCTTTAGGGCTCAGGGATTGGGATCTTGTCACCGGGCGCCTGTGTCTCGACCCATGCCCCAGGAGTCTACCGATCCATCGGTAAGGATTGCCGCGAATGCAGAGGTATTGGCTTGGACGCACCTTGGCAGCCCAGTCCCCACAAGGGTTTGGGGTTAGGGTTTAGGGTTTGTTTTAGGGTTTAGGGTTTAGGGGGCTTCCGATAATAGGCGTACCATTTTGGGGGGTCCTTTTAAGGGGTTTCCATTCTTTTTGGGGTACCCCTTATTTTGGGAAATACCCATATTCTAATGAGGGTACCCCTTTTTTGGGGTTGGCTACTTTATAAGAGAGCCCTGAACTAAAACAAGTGGAAAAGGGTACCTAAACCCTAAACCCTAGACCCTAAACCCTAAACCCAAAACCCAAAACCCAAAACCCAAAAACCGAAACCTTGCTGCCAAGCGCACTGGACACCAGCAAAGTTCTTGACGTATCCGCCCAGGGAGCCACCGGAAAGTCCCCAGGACACCACCTCTGGGGTCCAGAGTGCGGTTTACGGTTTAGGGTTTGGGGCAACAAACACGTGTGGTGGATGTGAAGAGTAAATATAGAGCTATCTAAATTGTGCAACGGCTTTTCGGGTGGCTGGTATGCTTAAGTAAGGAAAATCGATTCGGCTCTTGTATTCCCCTAAAACCCGAAACCCTAAAACCTGAACCCAAAACCCTAAACCCTAAACCCTAAACCCTAAATCCTACCCCCTAAACCCTAAAAAACCCAAACCCTAAAAACCCTACACCCTAAACCTAAACCCTAAATAAGGCTTTGGATCCCTGAGCCACTGTTCCAGTGCTGGAGATGGCGGCGAAGGCGGAGCCCTCTCCTTACTGTCTGATGCACCGATGACCTCTGGGTTCTGAGGGGGGTTTAGGGTTTAGGGTTTGGGGTTTAGGGTTACCTAAACCCTAAACCCTAAACCCTAAACCCTAAACCCAAAAATGACAAATAAACAAAACAAACTGAACCCGAAGTCCAAACCCAAGTCTCTGGACGCCTTGATCTGGATGACGTCCAGCTTCTTCAACTCCTGTCCGACCTCAGGGCACCTCGCAGTGCTTCGGGCTTCTGAGAGCTTAGGGTTGCTTAGGGTTTAGGGTTTAGAGTTTAGGGTTTAGGTTTTAGGGTTCAGGGTTCAGGGTTCAGGGTTCAGGGTTTACAGTTTCCAATTCCCCAAGCCCGACAACAAAACAGCACACCCTGAAGCGCAATACCACGATACCCCTGTACCCTAAACTCTCAGGGTAGTTACATGGTCCCTTAGTATGGGCCCGTAAAAGGGGACCCTGACATATACCCCCTATATACCCTGCACAAATTAGGGGCCCATACCTCAGAACCCTTTAAGGGAGTTTAGGGACCATTTTCAAGGCCCATGAAGCTACCCTTAGATAAGCCCAAAACCCTAAACCCTCTCCAAGGCGCTCCTCGGGGGGGAGTTGGCCACCAGAATGGTAGTCGCCCCAAGCGATCACCGACCCATCAGCAGAGAGCGCGGCGAAGCCCAGAAGAGAACCTCCAGCATTTTAGGTCCCTAAACCCTAAACCCTAAACCCCTAAAGCCGAAACCCTAAACCCCTAAACCCTAAACCCTAAACCCTAAGAGTTGAAGGTCCAGCGTTTTAGGTTTACCTGGGAACCCTCTTTAGCCTACAGTTTTGTTTCTGTGTTATACATACTCATCAAGGGTAGTTACTACTAATCTGCAGGCATTACTGGTTCAGGGTTTAGGGTTTAGGGTTTAGGGTTTAGGGTTTAAGGTAAATAGAGTCCCAGGTAGGGTTGAGGGAGCTACGGGCTGAGGGTGCGAGCCTAGGGCCTTGGGGGTATAGTACACTCAAATTCCATGAACTCGGAACCCCTCCTGATTTGGCTGTATGATGCGGCCCCTCATGAATGTAGAAATGTATGTATGTATGTATGTATACGTGACACCCAGCAAGGGCTGGGATTTAGGGGCCTAGGGGCTTCGGGGTTTAAGTGGCTATGGGTTAGCGAGTTTAGGGGTTTGGCAAAGTTTGGGGTATATGCTTCGGGGTTTGTAGGGTTTAGAGGGCCATCATTTAAAGAGGGTAAAGTGCTTCGCTCTCCCTGAGCCCTGAAAGCCAAAAAACCCAACGCCCTAAAACCTTGAAGCAACGAAACGCTAAACCGCAAAACCCTAAAGCTCTAAAATGGACCCTAAAACCCTCAAACCCTAAGACCCTCAAATGAAACCTACCAAACCCTAAACCCTAAGACCCTAAATGGACCCTTAAACCCTAAAGCCCTTGAATGAACCCTAGAAGCCTTTTGCCACAGACGGAGTTCAGTTGGCAAGCAGCGAGCCATGCCAACAAGTGATATGGGCCCTTCAGTCGTCATGCGGGCCGTTTAGGGTTTAGGGTTTAGGGTTCGGGGTTTAGGGTTACTTGGAGGTTCATGGCGCTTATGAAACACTTATAACTGCACCAAGAACTGTACTTCTAACCAGAATAGGGCACTTAAGGGCTTGAAAGTACGGTTGCAAGTACAGTTATCATTGCTTGATAAGTACCATGAACCTCCAAGTAGGGTGTAGGGTTTAGGGTTCACTTATGGCCCCGGGCCCATTCTTGGAGTACCCAAAGATGTAGGGTCTATATGAGTCTCAGGATTATGGGTTTAGGGTTTAGGGTTTAGGGTTCAGGGTTTAGGGTTTAGGGTTTAGGGTTGGTCGAGGGTGGCTGGCAACAGGAGGAAGCCAAACAACCACTCCGGAAGCTGACCCACGTGCTTAGGAGTCTCTTTTTTGGGCAGTCGCGCCCGCAAGTCCTTCTACTTCGAGAATAGCACGAGGTTTTTGCCGAAGAAGCGCAGGAAGTCCTTCTCTGTCGCAGGACCACCGGCAACTTGTAGCCAATCGACAAGGTCAGCGTAAGTGCGAACGGGTCCTCGCTCCAAGCGACGATCGGGAAATTCATCGGCAAATGTGCAACATGGTACCACGGCAAAAGGTCGCCCAAGCTCCCTTGCAAGCTCAATAACGCCTCCGGTCGCTTGATCTGGATGCAATCCGACAATGACCTGGCAGCTTCGCAGGTCTTCCCACCCAGGTGTGATCTCTTCACGGCTCCTTCCCCAGGCTCGTGCTACTTGAATTGCCTTATCCACAGGCACTTGACATTGCCTCACTGGACGGGACAGCACATACTCTTGGCATTCGGCATAGCTGCGAAGCCCATGTTGACTTTTGAGCCAGGTGCGCTGTTGTCCTGAGCAAGATCACGACCGCTTGCAGAAACACAGCCCGCCTCAAATGCTATACAGTCAAAAGCATCCTAGTTGATTCCTTAAATGCTATGATGTCTTTGGCATCCTGGAGATCAAGGAAGAAACAGCACAGAGTGACATCTGCTTCTGGACCCTAAACCCTAGACCCTAAACCCCAAACCCTAAACCCTAAACCCCAAACCCTAAACCCTAAACCCTAAATTTTGGAGCCAAGAGTCTTGAGACATGCCAGTCGTTCCATGGCGCAGGATGCTCTCCACCGGGGCAGCGGGGATCCAAGACGAGGCACGGTATGTTCCTCTTCCTTGCTTTAGGGTTTAGGGTTTAGGGTTTAGGGCTTAGGGTTTAGGGTTTAGGGATTAGGGTTTAGGGTTTAGGGTTTAAGGTGTAGGGTTTAGGGTTTAGGGTTTAGGGTCGAAAATGAGCCCTAAGAATTGGGGTCATGTGCCTATACTGCTTTAATTCCTACTACACTGTACTACTGTACTTGTTAATTATTAGAACGTCTATGAACCATAAACCCTTTTAGGGTTCATGTCGTTCCCAAGGTTCACGCTGAGTTCAAAGGCGAGCTCCCCACGACCGCCGGCAATGTCCACAACGCCCCCACGGAGCAACTTGTCGCTGAAGACGTCGCACAGCCACTCGGCGAACACCGCTGCACCTTGGGGACCATATGAGCTTAGGGTTTAGGGTTTAGGGTTCATTTGGCGTATATTGCCTTAATAGGAGCCATCGTAGTATAGGGTATAATGACCCCAATGTTAAAGGGTTTATGGCTCATATTACCTTGATAGGAACCATAGAAGTATAGGGTAGAATAAACCCAATTTTATGGTTGAGTTCGGCTTCAAGGCGCGTGCGGCGTGCCCTTTCTTCTCTTTCTCAGAATGGGGATCACCTGGAGGGTGTTGGTGAAAATGGGGCTCCCATGCGTTTTGGGGGAGAGTAACAGTGGGGATACGGGGGAACCCTAAACCTTGCAAACTTTATAAGCCCTAATTCCTAAGCCATAGACCCTAAACCCTAAACCCTAAACCCTGAACCCTAAATCCTACCCTAAACCGAAAAAATTCTCTTGGAAACTCCCACCTGGCTGCGCATTGGCGGCTAGACGATCGAGCTGCTCCTTGCGCCAGCGAGCCCGGGCTTCTTTCAGATCGTCACCCTCTGGATGGAAGCAGTTGCACTCGGTCCTCCTACCTGGGTGGACTTAGGGGGCCCCATAACTACTATTTGCTTAAGAAACCCCAGAAAGATAAGGATAAACATCCCTACATTTCCCTTATAAGGAAGAATATTTCATTTTTTGATTTACGTGCATATTTTTCTTATTCATTTATATATATATAGATATATATATATATATTTTTTTTTTTTTTTTCTTTTTTTTTGGGGGGGGGGGGGGGAAGGTGGGTTCTTAAGCAAATATGAAATAGAGGGAGCCTTAAATCTTCTATATATGGATTCCATAGGGCTTGTATAGGGACTAGGGCCCCTGAACAAACACACTCCAAGGCAGCCACAGGTGCAGGTGCCGTTGCTCATCCAAAACCTTGGGGACCAAATGAACCCCGAAAGCGATATTCATAGATCATCCCTCACACTAAATAGGGAGTCATAGGTAGTATGGGGTAGTATGACCCCAAAAGTGTTTAATAGATATCTCACAATAGGTACTAGGTTGCCCAGTAACCTAGGATTAAACAGGGTGCCCTTTTTTGCTTAAAGGGGTTTATAAGGGAACCTAAACCCCCCAAAAAGGGAATAAGGGCACTACTGGGCATCCTAGGTATAGGGTAATATGGCCCCCAAAATTAGGAATCCAACCTTGGTCTCCAGGGAACTTGCACAAGACCCTCCGCCGCGTGGTCGGCTCGGGCGGGGGTGGTACCTCTCGCTGGTTTTTCATTGTTCCCTCAACCCTAAACCCTCAACCCTCAACCCTCAACCCTAAACCCTAAACCCTAAACCCCAAACCCTAAACCCTAAACCCTAAACCCCAAACCCTAAACCCGACCTCTACGAAGAACCGGGGGCACCTCGGGAGCCTCGGGCTTCGTCTCCGCTGGGCTTTGGCCCTGGCCCTGGGCTTTGCCTGGGCTCTTGTTATGGACTTCAACTTCAGGTCTGGAACTACAAGAACTATGCATATATACGTATATGTATATGTACATATACACATATATATATATATAGACATAATACAGGGAGAGAAAGAGAAACAAAAAGAACAAATGGGTGAATATGTACACATCAACATTTGCCCTGTTCTGGTAACTTATGTGTAGTTTCCTGTGTGTGATTTTGTATACGTATCTGTTCTGGTGACTTTTGTAATAGTTTTCTTGTTGTGAATATGTAACGATCAAAATAAACCCTCGTCTGGTAGCTGTGTGTAGCTTCCTTAAGAAAGCCCAGTGGCGCGTGTCGTGCGCTGAAAATGTTGCCCCGCCGCCGACGTCGGCCCACCGGCTCGAGATGGAGTATGAGAAGACCTGGCTCTCGTGCGCTGGGTTTAGGGTTTAGGGTTTAGGGTTTAGGGTTTAGGGTTTAGGGTTTAGGGTTTAGGGTTTAGGGTTTAGGGATACTACCCCCCATATAGAGTGACAACGGCTATTATTCTTGTTATTGACTTGGTTCACTCATATTGAATAGAAAGCGAGATCAACAGCAAAGCCTATCCCAGGGCAGCCCGGAGACATCGAGAATCCTCCCGCAGACCCGATAGGTGCCCACGCAGGCGACGACGTCTCCCACCGCGACTTGCTTACCTTGGGGACCACATGAACCTTAAAAGGGCTTCTGGTCCGTATACCTCAACAGGAATTATAGTAGTATGGGGTTATATACGTTTAATAGGAATTATAATAGTATAGGGCTATATACCTTAATAGGAATGATAGTAGTATAGGGTTTATGACCCCATTTTTAGGGTTCATTTCCACAAGGTGCGCACTTCGCGGACCTCCGCGCCGTAGACCTCGCGCCAGGATGGGCCACTGAAAGCCCAAAGGATCCATGTACCTATATAGTATATACTTGGGCCTTAAAGGGGTTCCTATATAGTAGCTTTAGGGCCCAAGTATATACTACATAGGTACATGGATCCTTTGGGAGACTCTTCTACCCTGCAAGATTCCGCGCTTTGTTTCAACTCTCAACTCCGGGATGGCCCGCTAAGTAGAACGCCCTTTCATACGTATATATATATATATATATATATGTATATACATATGCCATATACCATATATTTGTTTGTCTATAATCTTATATATTATAGTAGATAGTATAGTATATTATATTTCGTTTAGTTGGGAATTTAAGGCGCAGCCCCTCCTCGAAGGAGAAGATGGCTTCCAAGCCCTTCGAGGCGGCGGAGGAGACCTCAAGGGTTCCCCTACTCAGCCCCCTCTGAGAGGGTTTGGGGTTCAGGGCTCAGGGCTTAGGGCTTAGGGTTTAGGGTTTGGGGTTTAGGGTTTAGGGTTTAGGGTTTAGGATTTAGGGTTTAGGGTTTAGGGTTTAGGATTTAGGGGTACTACCCCCCTCTACACTACCCCCCCGAAGGTGCCCACCATATTTAAGGCTATTTTGGAATAACTAATAAGCCTACTTAAGGTTGTTAGGTTGTTTTAGGGGGAACCTGGGGGGGGGGGGGGGGGGGGATAGTAGGGGAACCCATGAAGACCTCGGAGTCACCCGGGTCAATCTCCAGAAAGAGCAGCTTGTTGCCACAAGACCTCCTGGGCTCTTCAGGAGTGGGGACTCCCTAAACCCTAAACCCTAAACCCTAAACCCTAAACCCTAAACCCTAAACCCTAAACCCTAAACCCTAAACCCTAAACCGTTTGCGGGCTTAGAGGGTCTTAGGACCTCCTGGCTTCGAAAGGAGTGGAGCTGTCTGTCAGGGTTTACAGGGTTTATATATGTTTATGTATATATGTATATACATATACATATATATACACATATATATATATATACATATATATATATATGTAGAGATAGGGTCCGGTGTACATACGGTTTAACAGTTTAAAGGTTTTAGATAGGGTTTCTAAGGGTTTTAGAGGGTTTAGAGGGGGGTGACAGGACCTCCTGGGTCCCCCAGACCCTATAAACCTCCTAAGGTACCAATGCTTTTTGGCTTTCTTTAGGGGATGGGATTAGGGGGACCCTTGGGGACATAGACGCTCTGAATAAGGTCCCTGTTGAAGAGAGCCAGAAGAGGGTTCAGAAGGGTTCCCTCTTAGGGGTCCCCCCTTATCGCACCTAGGACTCCCTAAACCCTAAACCCTAAACCCTAAACCCTAAACCCTAAACCCTAGGGGGGGCGGGGTTCTTGCAAGGGATGCGCAAGCCCATGAAGCAGGGAAGTCAGGGGCCCTCTCTGGGTCCTCTGACTTCTCCAACGTTTAGGGTTTAGGGTTTAGGGTTTAGGGTTTAGGGTTTAGGGTTTAGGGTTTAGGGTTTAGGGTTTAGGGTTTAGGGTTTAGGTTGCCTTCTGCCACGCTCGAAACAATCTTGGGGACCTATTCTGAACCCATAACTACCCAATACCACTAGAATCCAGATTGAGGTCATGTGAACAAGAAATCTTTCTAGGATTCCTGGGAAACATACCCCCAAACTACTGTAAGCCCTATGAAGGCCAAATGAGCAAGAATAAACCCTTTTAGGGCTCCTTTGGGGGACAGGAACCCAACAGGTCTGAAGTTCAAGATGTAGCCTCTTATGAAGGACTTGCCCCTCCAGCACTTCTTTCGGCCCGGATAGGCGCTGTCCGGGGAAGCGCCCGTCGGCAGAGCCTTCGCCGAGTGTCTCGGCCATGGGCTCATGTCATGTCATGTAGGCCATGGCAGATGAGCTCTTTCGCTTCTAGGGTTTTGGGTCTAGGGTTTCGGGTTTAGGGTTTAGGCTACATCAATGGGTAGGTATGGTGGTCGGAAGGCGCTTCGCGCTCGGTGAACGGAGTACCCTGGATGTGTTCGGATGGGGACTGCGGTGATTTCTCGGTGCACGCCCGTAGTAATGTCTACTAGAGAAACTACAGGCGTACCTTCTTGGGGTCCCTATTCTACAAGGGAATCCTACTGTGTGGGGGTCTATATTAGGGTGCACACCCTTATCCAGCGAATGCATCAAGAAGAGCTTCGGACAGAAAGAACCATGCAGCTGCGAATGCATCGTCATTGGGGATATAAGTAATATAGGGGCCTTCATAATTAGAACAGGGTTCTCGGGGTGATTCTAGAATACTTATATTAAGGACCATAAGCGACCATTCTGGTACTTCTTCCGAGCCCTGCCGTATGTGCCCAGAAACCGTCAACCAAGAGCCCTTCGAGCCTGTGCTGGGCCTACAGTGCGAGTAAGGCCACTTGAGGTTGTAACCATATATATATATATATATATTATTGTGAAAATACAAGGGTATCCTTCTTTTGGTGCCAAAAGCGTCGGAATGCAACTTCCCAGATATCCCTGACACACCCGCAACCTTAAGGCATAAACACAATAAACATGAAAGCCCTGAACGGTTTAGGGGTTTAGGGTTTAGGCTTTAGGGTTTTAGGGTTTACGGCTTAGGGTCTAGGGCTTGGGGTTTAGGGAGCCTGCAATCTCCACACGCCGGACGTGCAACGTGAGGACGTCGTCCGACTGCACGCCAGCTTGGAACAAGTTGTCCTGCGTTACGGATTCAGGGTGTTAGGGGTTTAGGGTTTAGGGTTTGGGGTTTAGGGGTTAGGGTTTAGGGTTTAGGGTTCAGCATGTTAGCGCCGGCTTCTCGGTAGCCCAATTGCCCCAAGGGCCCTCACGTGCCTAAAACAGAAGGTATACACTTGGGCCCTCAAGTGTAAGGCCCAAGTATATACTATATAGGTATATGGACTCTCCAGGGGAACCATACTCCGGGTCCTAGTAGCCCTAAACCCTAAACCCTAAACCCTAAACCCTAAACCCTAAACCCTAAACCCTAAACCCTAAACCCTAAACCGCGTTTAGGTTCCTTAACCCGTAACCATACTACATTTTTTGGCACCTCTTTGGAGTCCGCCACTTTGTAACGGAACCTGGAAGCAAACAAGGGCAGAAGGGCCACCACAGGGCCAAGGCTTTGAAAGGTGTCGGGGCCGGGGTGGAGGGTTTAGGGTAGTTTAGGGTTTAGGGTTTAGGGTTTAGGGTTTAGGGTTTAGGGTTTAGGGTTTAGGGTTTAGGGCTTAGGGTTTAGGGTTTAGGGTTTAGAAGCCACGCAGGCGTCCTTGATCGTAGTGCGCCTCAGTGGTAGCTGCGGGTTCTGGTGGCTTTGAGGGGTTTGGGCGGCTTAGGATTCATCTTCAGAACCCAAAACCTACTTTGTTGCGGGTTCCGCAAAAAGTCATAAAAGATGAGCATAGAATGATAAACCCCTTATGAGAATATTGTAAGGAACTACAAATGTGGTAGGGTGTGGCTTTTTCAGGTCAAGGTCCACACAGGGCCCTAAACCCTAAACCCAAAACCCCAAAACCCCAAAACCCTAAACCCTAAACCCTAAACTTGCAACCGCCGAGGTCCTCCGCGCCTAGCGCGCGCCCCTCGGAGTTCCGCAGCACGCCCGGGCCGACAGACAAGGCATCTTGTGCTCGCTGCAGCCTCATTCTAAGAATAACCCTAAACCCTAAACCCTGAACCCTGAACCCTAAACCCTGAACCTACCCCAAACCCATAAGCGTTTAAAGGAGCCCTTAAACTCTTACCCTGAGGGTCCGGTTCCTCCGTATTTGAGTACTTCTGGCCCGCGATCGTGCTCCGAACAAATTGCGACCGCGTAGTGGATTATTGAGGAATCGGGGCTTCTAGATCTAAAGAGCTCATTGTGGGGTGATGTGAGACATGTTGCGAGTGGCTCAAAGCCCCAGAATTATGACCTTCGTGAAGCCCTCCTATAGATACCTTGCTGACAAGACAAAGCCTGGTAACCAAAATCCCACAGACCTAGAAAAATTAAAGCACAATCCCTGTAAGCCACGACCTCGCCATGTCTTTCCCAACAGCCTGGCGATGGAGTCCCGGTGCCCCGAGCAGACTTTGTGCAAGTACATGCCAGCACCATAGCATCGAGCTGTTATGTTGTATCATTAGCACGGTGGCTGGAAAGTACTACCAGATTAATGATGCAGTGAAGGATAAGTGCATTCACCCATCCTTGCGATTAATTTGAAAAGCGCCTCAACATCTTACCCTTCAAGGGCTTTCGCAAGAAGCTGCAGGTAGACCCTGCAAAGTGTGGTCTTCTCAACTGTCCTCTTGTGGCACTTCGCAGCAATTCCTTTCTCAGGAGGTTGAAGGTCATCAAACAATTTAAATAGTGTTCCAGACATTCCCCCAATTAAAGCACAACCGAAAAGTACACAAATGCTGTGGTGTTTTGCTATGGCACTGGCCATGGAGCCAACATGATCCTCCTGCATAAAGCAGTGATAACTCCTCGGGTTGATACCTGCAGGCACATGTGCAAGCTTCGAAGTGAGAGGTGTTGACAATGGTCTTTCAAACTGTTGATACTACTTGAAAAAAACTTGTTTATGAATCAGGCACAGCAGCGATCGCGAACGGCAAAGAATGCCAATTCTTGGAAGCCCTTAGCTATTTTTGGTTTGTTGCGGAACCACTAGAATGTCAAGCAGAGCAAATTATAGGCTTCAGTCAGGTTTCGTGGCATTTCGGCTTTACTGGCCACAGCAGCATATGCTGTGCCAAAGCCCTTCGGCCAAGGGTGTAGTAGGCTTCCAAGCATTGATCCTTTCGGAGTGCACTTATAAGGGTGGGCCAAGGACACAGTGCACAATCGCGCACCCCAACACCCAATACACTAGAAAACCCAGGATCCCATTGAAAGCAAGGGGCGCAGCAAATCGATAGCAAGCATGCATCGTCTGTTGACAGGTACAGGCCACAGCGCTCCGTCTGGTTGAACCACTCCGCCAGGTACCACCTGCAGTGGGCAATCAGGTTTATTAGGGTTTTGGGTTTTCAATTTAGGGTTTGGGGTTGGGGGTTTGGGGTTTAGGGTTTGGGGGGGGGGGGGAGGGGCGCACCCTCATCGACTAATGTGTTTCAGGATGGAACAACTACATGATTCAAACTGTTATGAGGAATATTTGTCGGGGTACACAGCTCGGGCGACGAAGACAAAATCGTCCTCAGGACCATAGCTGCCAGCATTCAGCTTGCTCACACACAGGTTGGCCAGCCAGGCCAATACCACTCGCCCCTGCATACAACACCGTAGCCTAAACTCCTAAACCCCTTTGCCATGTTATCAACCTGAGCCCTGAAAGGCCCGAAAGAAAAACAAACATCCTAAGCCCTAGAGCCAGGTTGCGTTGTAGGCTTTGCATTGAAGCTTCGGGAACTGGGCCTCCTCCGAAAGCCGAAGATGGGGCTGGCTGTGCCTAACCATTAGCACGATTATTGGGATAAATATTGAATGTAGCAATTAGGTAATTATAGGTTTAGGGTTTAGGTTTAGGGTTCAGGGTTTAGGGGTTTAGGGTTTAGGGTTTAGGGTTCAGATCCCCACACATACCGGGAAAGGTTTCTGGCCATAAGAAGACAAGATTCGGAATTTTGTGCTGCTTCGTCCACGCACGAAACTCCAAGAAGGCCACCTTCAGCTGCTTGACCTCTTCATCTCCCTCCCATTGGCCCTCTGCTGCCACGAACCGCAGTGCCGAACCGGCAAGGTACTGCAGGAGCCCCTGATTCAGGGTGTGCATGGAGCACCAGCGGATGTAGACGGGATTGAAATTCCGAACTCCCAGAAGGGGACCTGATCACTCTGCACATGCCTTATAACTTCTCAAAAAAAGAAACTCAACCGAGTTCTAAGTTGCAAAGAGCCACTCTCGTGATCCCCCGTGCGAGCGGCATGTTGTACAAAGTTGTCCAGGTCCCGTCGAGGATACAATGCACCAGGCACTGTGGCATGCGACGTCTTCAAGCAATGGCAATGATGACAAAGCGATCCACTGGACCAGCCGGTCTTCATGGCAAACCACTCCTGCATGCATGCGTCGTCCATTTAAAAACACCCTAAGCCTTAAAGCCCCCCAACCCGAAATATGGTTTAAAAACACATCCGAATTACTTAAGGGTTTAGGGTTTAGGGTTCAGGGTTTAGGGTTTAGGTTTTAGGGTTTAGGTCCGTATACTTTATAACAAGCCTGTCGAACAAACCAACCCTACTAGGCCGCTTTGGTAAGTCCTGGGTCTGGGGCCAATATTATTAGGGGATTGGATCACGCCCCAAGAACCTTCCTAAGCAAAACTTCGTACTGGAGGTGGCCACAGCATGGGCAGCTGCAAGTGCTGTGCTCAGAACAAGTTCGGTTCTGTTCTGAGCACAGCACTTGCAGCTGCCCTATTTTGGGCGAGTGGGTGGATGAGGCCAGGGCTGGTTGAAGTTGCAGGGTGTTGGGAGGGTTTCGGGTTTCGGGAGGGAGCATATACCGAGCTTGAAGGTTCTCACCCTAAAAGCACCCACTGTATATATCACGACAAACAGTCAACACCCCAGCCTTTTGCCACTTCCAATCACCTCTATATTCACTTACTGCGCAGCGGATTGTCTTCGTAGCTCCACCGGGCATTGTCACCGACACACCCTCATCGAACAACTTGTTCAGCGAGGTCACCACCTTTTCTTCCATGAGATCATGATCGGTGTAGGAGGCATGACCACTCTAGGGAGGGAATTCTTGGAGTGTTTTACATGTTTGTAGACGTGAAAATATTGTTAACGGCGGAGAGGTGGCTGCTTGCAAATAGGCATTGAGTGTCTGTGG